AAGTCACTTAAATCTTTCTTTTTTATACTAATAAATTGAATGAAATTCAGTTCAAAATCTGCTCTTTCTTTTTGAATAACCCTGTAGTGCTATACGTTTCTTTAATTTAAACTCTTTTAGTTTTTAGAGATATATCATTATTACATTAGCATTTTCTTTCCATTTTAACCATAACACATCATTTCGGTAGGGGACGTTGTATAAAAGCCATAATGTGTGTCTAAACCAGAAGACACAACAGTATAGAAATTTAACTCTTTATTTTATTCAGATTGATTAAACACCTAAACTCACATTTGATCTCAAGTGGAACTCGTACATATGATCCATCACTAAAGATATTGGCAAAATGGTCAGTTGCTTGTACTGCCCCAGAAAGTACATGATAACTCCTTTTATCCTCTCCAGACCAGGTGGAAAAAAATTGTACGGCTGCTATATATGGGCAGGATCTGCCTAGCGTTCACTTTGAACTTGCAATCAAGTTCAAAAGTATTGCCATTGTGGGTGAAAAATAATTTTTCACCCTAGAACCCCCTTCCCTCGGGTGAAATGGCACGAGCCTCTCACTGCTCTATCGCCATTTCCATGGAAAGTGTTCAGACAAACTAAATTCCTTATTTCCACCAGTTTTAACCTTCACTGCTAAGGCCTACCATGCTACATACATTGTAGCAAACCACCCTCATTTCCTTCTGTTGTGGAGTGATTTCACAGTGGAGGCTTGTATTTGTACTAAGTCGGTCCTAAAATAGGTTCGACGTACAAAACGTTAGGAACTTGATATAATAGGTATTACGCAGAGTAATCTTGTTGTGGTCGCTGATACTTTAGTATTCGACTGCCATCCGACATCGACGCTATTTAGTAAGTGCTCCACGCAGTCAAATGTGGCACAAGACCGAATTTAATGTGGGGTTCCCGAGCCCGTAGGTTCGGCCAAAAAAAACCCGTAGACCCCGCATAAACGGGATCGGGTCTGTCTACCTCCACGGACGAAACTCTGACCTTCGGCATAGCCTCCTCCGGGTTCCTCTCTGCCCAAAGGCAGAGAGTTCGACTGTCGTCCGACATCAACTGACTGACTGTCTGACTGACTCCTACTTATTGTAGATGGGAGACTCTATTAACTATAGAATAGGTGTGTTTCTCTATAACACCTTCGTATTCCATTGGTGAAATGTAAGTTCCACTAAAACAGTTTTCACCCCCACACCAAACTATCAATTTCTGGAACCAACCCCTAAGAGGATGCTTCGATAGAATCTTAACTTTTTCAAGTCTAGGGTCAACTTTTATCTTCCCCACATAGCCCCATAAATTGTGCCTCTTAATCTGTAACCCTCTACCTCGAGTGGCTCTTGGGCCTTGTACAGCGTGAATATCATTGTTTAAGAAGGAAAGAAAAAAAAACAAATTGCTGGAAACATGAAAAGCAGGAATTAAAATGAAGAACAAAAACAACATTTTTAAGTATCACCAGATATTTATTTCCATTATTATGCTTTTCGTCAAATACTTACTGGCAGAAATAATTTGATATTTTAGAAATTAATAGATTGAATTAACGTCACAAGCACTATTACAGAAGATGAAATTTTACAACTGATTGGCAATTAAAGAAAGGCAAACAAGTGAGGATATATATATATATATATATATATATATATATATATATATATATATATATATATATATGTGTGTATGTATGTATATATAATGTGAAAAGTGTATATATATATATATGTAATATATTATATATATTATTATTTATATATTATATGCGCGGTACTTATTAGAAAGCGCTCAATATCAGAGATAGAGCTAACATATTTGGTTGGATTGGAGTGAGTTTGTGACCCTGGGTTTCACGCTTTTGCGATCGTCAGACAAACTGATCCCATCATTGAAATTCAACAATCAAATGCGTATGTATGTAGACAACAGCACACATATACATATAAATGTCAACTCCCATATTGTCCACATATGTTTATGTTTGTGTGAGCCTTGGTGGGCGATCGCGTGTACATGTGTGTCTGCATACCCCAGTGGCTGTGCGGACATGCATCTATGTTTGCGTTAGCATGAGTGACATCACGATGGCGATTCTCCCCCCACCCGACTTCCATAATAACAATCTACATAAATTCAAAATTTAAAAAAAATTATTCAGTTTGTCAGTCCACTTCAATCCAACCAAATATATATATATATATATATATATATATATATATATATATATATATATATATATATATATATATAATGACTCCTATGTTGTTGAATATTTAGGTAGCAGTTTTATACAAGCTTCAGTAAATATGATTAAATGGGATGTTTTGGTTAGAGCAAGTGCTGTACCACATGTATATTTGAACAACTCTCTGATTGCCGCAACAAAAGCTGGCAAAATACATTTAAAATGTTTGACCCAAATATTCAGAGAGCTGTTTAAATATATGAAAAAAAAAAGCAACGTCGATCACCATCTTCTGTCTACTTGAAGCCTGTTATTTTATTGTCCTTTTTCTTAACTAAAATCCTCTCATTCTCTTTCCCTCCCAGTAAACCCGTTTTGTCTTAGTGGCATTATCGCCTTGCTTGGAGTGAAATGATTAAAAAAAAACAACCAAATCCCAAGGTGCAGTACATTTAAAGAAATCTCTCACTCACTCACTCACTCACTCACTCACTCACTCAAGTTCACTTACAGATAGAAAATATTTACTAAGCTCAGCTTAGTCGAACATTAAATCAAATGATGGCGATTGTTTTGCTCCACTCTTTTAAAATAGGAAGAACCCGTTTGTTTGCCCTGTCAATCGTTATTCGAAACTCTAACTTTTACATAGGCTCGAAGACTAATCCCTGATCTTGCAGGAATTGCTTTAGACAACAAGCAGGCCAACAATTAGTAGGTTATAAGCAGCCATTTGTTGCCTATCATGCTACCTACGCGCGTTGAGATGTCACTGACACAGAGCGGTTTAATTGTCGAAAGTAAACTCGGACCACCCACAAAATGATTAGGTGTTTTATATATATATATATATATATATATATATATATATATATATATATATATATTATTTATTTAGAAAATTTATAACATAATCACTACAAAAATAGCCATAGTGATTTTATAACATGTTTATGTTATAAATTTTCTAAATAAATAATTATATATATATATATATAAGAAAGGGTCCACGTGTGCTTCTTATAATAAATAAAATAAATAGGTTAGTTAATAAAACAAGGGCAAATGAACGTGTGCTAATATAATCAAAACATTTACTAAATATTAATTATTAACTATAGGATAGAAATGAAGCACGGAAAGAAAGGTTTTGTGTCCGGAATCAACACCTGTGTCCTTTATCAACGGACCGAGGGATAAACAGAGAAATGGGAATTACTATGCGTCAGATGTTATTTGTTTTTTGTTTTTTGTTTTTGTAATGATTATATTGGTACCCTTTCGTTTGACCTTGTTTTATTTACTAACCTATCTATTTTGTATACATACATACATATATATCAAATAGAAAACTGTTTTAAAGCCAATACATACATTGAAATGAATAAACAAATATGGATTTTACTTATAAATAAGCCGATATATAAAATGAGAAATTCATTGTAAAACAAAACAAAAATGTATACATATATATATATGTGTGTGTGTGTGTGTGTGTGTGTGTATGTGCGTGAATTGGGTTATTTTGGAAGCAATCTTTCGTTTATGCAAGTTTCATCAAAAACAAGCGAAAAGTTTCGTTTTTATTTTTTTTTTCAGCACTCATAATTTAACTTCTATTTAGTATAGTAATTGGAGAAAAAACGTGAAACGTGTGTCTATATATATATATATATATATATATATATATATATATATATATATATATATATAATCTTTAGATGTGCTATATTTATGGGATAAAGTGATCAATATCAGAGATAGAGCGTGTGTAAATATAAAAGTGAACATAAAAGTCAACACTTAGACGCGACAGTCTGTTTCATGCTAGACGCAATCTTCGTGGTCTGACGATTGCGTCTAGCATGGAACAGACTGTCGCGTCTAAGTGTTGACTTCTATGTTCACTTTTATATATATATATATGTGTATATATATATATATACGTGTGTGTGTATGTGTGTGTGTGCGTGTGTTTATCTACATATATACAGACTCCACCAAAAATGTTTACACATTTCAGGAAAGGAAAAACTTGTCTTTCATAGTTTTATCAAATTGCGATAACACAGTAGCAAATTGTAGAGCGATACTTTTTCAACAGATGGCATTGCATAGGCGGCCCTTAGACAAGAAATTGAAAATGTATGTGCAACAATCCCACTGGACACTTTGGACAACGTTACTCAAGCAGTAGTTCGCCGGACTAATAAATACCTGGAAGCTAAAGCCCGCCATTTTAAGCATCTCTTGTGATTGTAGAATCCAAATGTTACTTCCAAATGTCTGAATTTAGTATTACAATATCTATACAAGTTTTTCCCTTTTCTGACGCGGTCCGTATATATATATATATATATATATATATATATATATATATATATATATATATGTATATATGTGTGTGTGTGTGTGTGTGTGTGTGTGTGGGTGTAACGTACATTTTTGTTTTGTTTTTGTGTGTGTTTGTTTAGTAATGTGTATGCAGAAGTTGTTTTTGATGTCATGATTCCTTGTTCAATTCTTTTCGTTCCCGATATTTTTCTATTTTTTTTTTTAATAAAATACATGAAATGTTTCTTTTCTGTAACCAAATAAGTTTTTTTCTCTCTATTCAAAAAAAAAAACAAAAAAACATTTTTTTATGAATTGTTTAGAGATTTTCCCCCAACTGTCTGGTTTTCCGAGTGCTTGATGGGATATCCCGGAAGCGAAAAAATCTTAGCATTTATTTTCAATCTTTTATTTCTTTTTGTCCTTTGAAACAACTAAATTAAAAGCCGTATTTTTTTCTTCTTCACAAGACAGTGTCTTCAATGATCAACGCATCCTTTTCCGGTTTTAGTTGGTCGATAGGCACCACCAATCCCTCGATTCCATCTTTTGGCAAGGACCCATAAGTATTAGGATATGTGTTGAAGGTGTTCTTGTTATTCATTGCTTTGATTCCAGACAGACTGTTGGGGTAGCTGAGATCATGAAGATTGCCGACACCGACGTAATGGCTTCCCAGGCTGCTGTGCGACTTTTCCAACATCTCATCGCTCATAATGGTCTCGTCTGAATAAAGGTTTTCTGAAATGCGGGCTTCTCGTCTTGGCACAACAGTCACGTGGTACTGAAGATTGGAAAAGGAAAGTAAAGGCACATCAAATAAACCCATCTGAAATGGTAACACAAAAAAGAGAGAAAGAAAGAAAGAGAAAATGAAATGCTGTCTGAAAATCCTTTTTTTTTTCTTCTTTAAAAAAATGAAAAAAATATTTCCAATATTTTTTTCGTCAAAAATTATATACAAATATAAAAAGAGGATTTTCAAACATTTCACATTTCGTTAGTTTTTTGAATAAAGTATTTTCAAATTAGTAATGGTTTTATTTTTGAATTTGCACATAATTATTTTGATTGAGAAATAAAATCGTTATTAGTTTTGTATATATAGCAATTTATTAATTGTAACGTAGATGTGGCACAAGGTCGAAAGTATGGAGTACCCAGTTATAATCGAACTCAGTCGTAATTGATCTCGGGAGACAAGCTTGATAAACATTACACCATTTCCATGTATCAACGTTTGTATATGGTGATTTTCTAAATGCAGCTTAATTATGGCACAATGCCGAAAGTGTGGGTCACTCAGTGAGGATCGAACTCACTATTCAGTCGTAATTGATCTAGGGAGATAAGCTTACTAACCACGACCCCAAGTCCGAGTGCAAAAGTCTATATATGTATTTCATACACGAAATGTAGCAACTATTATGGGACTGGGTTAATATGACATACTCTGATAACATTGGTCAATACCAAATTTATTGTCTAAATATTTTTAGCTGTTTTAGGAAAATTTTGTTGTGCTGAATCTAAAAATCACATGAGAATCAAAAACACAACAGAAACAAAAACACAAAAAGGTAACCTGATTGAACAAATCAGGTTACCTTTTTGTGTTTTTGTTTCTGTTGTCATGTCCATTAAAATATCTAAATATGCAACATATTTCACACAATAAAACTAATTATTATGTCAATTATAAACTTATTAATTTTAACCAATCAGAAGTATTTTCAGCTAAATATAGCTTCATAAATATTAAAACACACCTCCAAAATATTTATAAACCAATAACAAAAAAGAAAGTGTTTACATCTCAAAACACACCAATTATACTGTACAATACAAAACCATAGAATATAAATATGAAAGGTTGTTTTATTAGTCATTATAATTTAAGTCTACCATATTGCACAGATATAGTAGTAAACATACCATGTCACTTTTTAGGGCCAATTAGGAATAACTAAAGTTATATAATTCAGGAGCCAATTTCTCAGGAATAACAATATAACAATCACGATGTTTGGCCTCAACAACTGAATCTCTCAGATCCTACTAAGGGCCATGTCACTCGAACTGCAAATATTCAAGAACTCATTCACTTCCACACACACTATCAAGAAATGACTCAGCATCTTGGTGACCAGGATCAAGCCTGGGTTCCATACATGGTATGTAAAACATGTACCGATTATCTGCATTGGTGGACCAAGGGCCAGAAGAGTTGTGCAAAATTTGGAATTCCATCATTTGGAGGGAGCCAACAAACTATATCACTGACTGCTACTTCTGTGTTATTGATGAGATTGGGATCAAGAGAAAGAACCGGAGCCGTCTCAAGTATCCAGATCTTCAATCAGCATGTCAACCTGTAGCTTACTGCGATGAAATTCCAATACTTGTCTTTGGAGAACTTCCTGATATTAGTGAGAAAGATTTCTCCAGTGTTCAAGAAGAAAAAGAAGTGGTTTTTGACAATGATGTTCCACATCCATTTTATATCTAATTAGTATTTTAGAGGTGAATGAATGGCTTCCACCAAATCTTGTAAAAATAAGCCCGACGTCTGCCGCTATATCTGCGGTGAAGACACCATTGTCTCTAATAGGAATCTAGTCACAATTTCATACAGTTTGCTTACTTTCTTTATTTTTGGTATTAAACTTGGTGACCAGGAGAAAGCTTGGGCGGTACACATGGTATGTAAAACATGTACCGCGTATCTGCGTCGGTGGATCAAGTGCAAGAAGAAGTGTCTGAAGTTTGCTAATTCCCATGGTTTCGAGGGAGCCAACAAATCATAGCACTAACTTCTACTTCTGTGCTATTGATATGACTGGGATCAAGAGAAAAAAAATACAGAGCAGCCTCAAGAATCTTGATCTTCAATCAGCACGTCGTCCTCATTGGGATGAAATTCCACTACGTGTCTTTGGAGAACTTCCTGATATTAGTGAAGAAGATTTCTCCAGTGTTCAAGAAAATGAAGAAGAATTGGTTTTTGACGATAATGCTCCACATACTCCCCCCCCACCCAAAAAAACTAAATGATCTATTTCCAGATTTCAAATTGTTCTCTGCTGAACTTTTCGCATCTAAATTGAAGGAAAAAAAGCTCCCCCTCAGACAATGCTCACCTCACCTTTTACCACGACAGGCATCAAGAGTATCTCCATTTTTTTTCTCTGAAGAGAAGAACTTGGTGTACTGTACAGATATTGCGCAGCATATGCACAAAATTGGAGTAGCACAGTACGAACCCAAAGATTGGAGATTTTTCATTGACAGCAGCAAACGATCACTGAAAAGTATTTTGCTGCGCAATGGCAACCAGTTTGTATCTGTAATCCTCGTTCACTCGATTAAACCGAAGGAGAAATATGAAACAGTGAAGAATGTGCTGGAGAAAATTAATTATTATCAGCATGAGTGGTTTATTTCCGTTGATCTTAAGATGGTGACATTTTTGGGGGGGACAACAGTCCGGGTTCACCAAGTACTCATTCTTTCTGTGCATGTGGGATAGTAGGGACACTGTTCAGCATTACATGGAAAAGGACTGGCCTGTTTTTTTTGGGGGGATTGATGACTTGCAGAGCAACAAATGTCATCAATAAGCCTCTGGTGGACAGAGACAGGATACTTTTCCCACCACTGCACATCAAGCTCTGGACAAGGATAGTGGCTGCTTCACTTACTTGTGCCAGGCTTTTCCAAGATTGACGATGGAGAAGTTGAAAGCAGCCATCATTGATCGTCCTCAAATCTGTCAGCTCATCAGATATCCAGAGTTTGAAAACTCAATATACAGAGTGGAACTGGAAGTGTGGAAGGCTTTTGTTCTGATCATAAAGAACTTTCTTGACAACAACAAGGCCAGGAACTATGCAGAACTCGTCATCAATATGCTGACTGCTTTCAGAAACCTCAGACGCAACATCAGCATCAAAATGCAGTATTTATTCTCACACATGGATTGTTTTCCTGAGAATTTGGGATCAATGAGGACGAACAGGGGGAGAGATTCCATCGGGGCATGAAAGAGATGGAGACCAGATATAAGGGACGCTGGGATGCAGTCAAGATGGCTGATTACTGTTAAACTTTGAAGACAGACACACCTGCTGCTGATCATTGTAAGAGTTCGAATAAACAAAATTTCAAGCCCTGAATTTTGAACAATGATAACGTAATATGCAATTTACATCTACTTACCTTTATCAATGTATACTATTCAATTTATTGTAATCGAGGTTTGTAAAATTTAATTAATAAGTTGTGTTAGAAAACAATTTTTTCTCTTAAAACTTATTTTCTACGAGAAATATTAACAAAATTCAATAGATAATGTCACACAAATGTAATCGATTTACTCATAAGATCAGATTTTTAAAAACGCAACATAGCACAAAAACATGACCTGATTTAGAGAAACGATGTCATTTTTGGATTCAGCGGTGAAAAATTATCCTAAATCATTTGAAAAATATAGACAATTTAAAAAAAAAAGTTTTTTTATTGCTCAGTGTAATCATTTTTAACGAAGATAGTTTTGCCCTGGTTTAAGATTAAAAAGCAAGTTGACTCGCTGTTAACACCCCAGAAAATGTAACTGTCGGCCTGGTTACAGTTTCAGGTTCGGATAGCAATGGGCAGCATAAAGATATTAAATGTCGACACATAAAGAGAGAAGGTGGAAGATCATGAAGTAATATTGAAGCAACCATCAAGAATTTATTTACATATGCTTTTTCTCAGAGTAAAATGTACAGAATGTCCCACACAATGTATACACATATTTTTGCGTGAGTTGTTCGATGGATTGATTTGTTTCTTACGGTTTATCAACCTTTTTAAGGTTATTTAAAAACCGGAAAATATTTTTGGATTGTATGAATTTGTGGGGGGGAGATAGCAATAATATGCTGACACAAGTCTTACTATTTAACCTATAGCTGGAAGAAGAGGTTGATTTATGCTTTTTCAAAGGGTATTTGCATTTAATGAATATAAAGAAGCCACCTGAAATTTGAACTCGGCTCTCCAATTTCTTATTCAGAGTCGTTATCCATTACACCACCTGCATATCTGAGCTGAGAGCAACTGATATTCCAGAATGGTCACTGAACCGGTTTAACTTCAGTAATTTGATGAGAACCAGTGTTTCAACGCGATATGGTCGTGAGTTGTTTTGACACTGAACTCATTTTGTGTGAGTACAAGTGATTTTAATAACCTTTCTCAAAATCATAGGCTATATATATATATATTTATTAAAGACATTTTTATGTTTAACGTTCTTTTTTATAGATACAAGTATTTAAGTAAATGCTCTGTTTATAATAAACAGTATTAAATAACATTTACCGGCCTGAATGTCCGAGAAATTTTCATAGAAAATATTCGTCCTTTGACAGGATTCGAACCTGCATTCTAAACGGAACCGTCATTTACGCTGACGTGCCTAACCTCTCGGCCACAAGGATCGTTCGGTTGGCAAGGTTGAATTTACTGCTTATAAACTTCAATCTTCCATGAATCTCGTACATTCATAACTGCTCATGGCGTATCAAATGTAAACAAATGACGTCATATATTAAGAAATGGACACAGTCCGACAATTTATTTATTAAAGAGCATTTACTTAAATACTTGTATCTATAAAAAAGAACGTTAAACATGAAAATGTCTTTAATAAATAAATTGTCGGACTTTGTCCATTTCTTAATATATATATATATATATATATATATATATATATATATATATATATATATATAT